GCACTTCTCTCCTGGCCAGATACAGGACTTTTAAGATGCATCTGTACAACTGAATTGAGTTCACCTTCATCTCTCTGCTCTGAGGGCAGGTGGTCTTGCCATCCAAACCTGAGTGAGCACATCCAAATATCTCTTGGAAATGGTTCTCACTCAATGTCAAGAAGTATGCACTCAGCTTAGCAGTCAATAACTGACGTTAATGGGGAAATTCCTTGGCATGGTTTAATTTTTTAGTAGCAAAAAATTAGTTTTACCAGTCTATTTAAGCTTCTGTAACACAAAAGGACATTTATGTGGTGTGTCCTGTAGAATCAATTTGTGAAAACTGTAATAGATCCTTCCATATCTGTTATTAAAGTCAACAAATAGTAAGAGTTTTGTTGTGGTGATTACAATTAAACCATGAAATAACCTGTTTCTAAGCTGTGACAGCCCTAATTGAACTGGCCTCTTTCAGTCAGCTCCTCTGAGACCAATATGTATTACTGGTTTGGGAAAAAAATCTGTTTAAAAGAACAACAACAAAAAAGACAGATAAAAACCCAAAACCAACATCAAAACCCCACAAAAATTCCATTTAGATAACAAAAACCAATAATTAAATAAAATTGGTGACTTCAGAGACTGCAGTTCATATCTCTGAAAAGGCAACAGCTGATAATTCTTAGGCCAAGTACTTGAAACTGTCTCATATTTTTTATGCAAATGCTTTTGTTTCATACTTCTGAAAGTTTGGCTTTTCTTTCAGGTTCCTGAGCCCTGAATTTATACCTCCCAGAGGGAGAAAAGATCCTCTTAAATACTACATAGAAAGAAAGGATATGATACAGAGAAGAAAAGTGTTCAACATCCCAGAATTCTATGTTGGTCAGTGACAGCACTAAAACTTCTGTAATTCTGGCAGTATTTTACATTGTGTGGGGTGTGGTCATATGTAGAATAGCATAAAACATAACGTTTCAGGTGTGTTAGATCAACTGGATGTGTTTCTATATGTAACACTTCATATTTTAATCTCATATTTACGTCCTAATTAACTAAAAGAGTAATCCTAATGTGTTCCTTATGTGGGTATTTTTCAATCCTGGCACTTGAGCATATGGTTTACCAGTAGAGCTAAGGAAAAAAAATACATTAGATTAATTATATTCAATTTGGATTGGGAAGAGCAAAAAATAAAGATGAAGAAAGTTTGCAGTTAACCTGCAGTATCAGGCTATATTAATTCAGGTCACCTTCACAGTTTTTTTCTGTTTCTGGCAGTTTTGATGGGAAGCAAAAGTATTTTCAAAATGCACCTGAATTGAGGCACTTTGCCTGATTCTTCCCACATTTTGGCACACATTAACTGTTTATTAACGAATTAGCATATTAGCTGTTAATTCCAATCCGTTTTCTGGCAGGCAGTATACTGGCCGTGACGACTGCGAATCCCCTGGCCGGTGACAAATGCAGCCGCTTTGTGGGGATCTGCATCCAGAGGGGAGGGACCGGGCTCGGCGCCACCTTTGTCCTCCGCAATGTCATAGAAGACCAAGGTGGGCTTGCAGATGTGCTAATTGTGCTGCAGGTGTGTGGTGGTGTTCATAGGGATCCCAGCATGAGGGAAGAGATGAGAATCTTGACTCCATGTTTCAGAAGGCTGATTTATTATTTTATAATATATATTATATTAAAAGAAAATTATATACTAAAGCTTTACTAAAAGAATAGAAGAAAGGATTTCATCAGAAAGCTAGCAAGGAATAGAAATGAATAATAATAAAATCTTGTGACTGACCACAGAGTCCGAGACAGCCAGCCTGTGATTGGCCATTAATTAAAAACAACCACATGAGACTAATCAAAGATGCACCTGCATTCCACAGCAGCAGATAATCATTGTTTACATTTTGTTTCTGAGGCCTCCATGCTTCTCAGGAGAAAAGATCCTAATGAAAGGATTTTTCATAAAATATGTCTGTGACACAAGTGTTCAGCAAAAAATGTGTTATGTTGTAGAAATTGGGTCTGTGGGAAGGAAAACAGCAGATTGAAGTGAAAGTATGAGTCTGCCTGTTAGAGTACTGTGCAAGTTTAAAACTGTGTAGACAGAAATGCTGATGTGCTCTGTACTTGAAGGTATGGAACTGCACAGTAATTTTTGGACATTTTGTGATGGTTGTTCTTGTGTCTGAGCCTGGGTTGTCTGTTACCATGTTAATACCAGCCCAGTTTGAGCACTGTGTGTTTTCATGAACTAGGGATGTAGGTGTGAACTGTTTTAATAAGCAGCAGATTAGAGGAGTTTTATCACAGGTTCATATTCTGGATTATGACAAAATCAGGGGTAGTGAAAATGGTGGAGTTCTGAGGGCAGATATGAAAGGGGTGGGTGTCTCTTCATACACTCTACATCTACACTGAGATGCATAAATAACAGCCATTGTAACCAAAAGGAAATAAAGTTGAAAACCCAAGCTCATCTTCCTTAAATTTGAGCCATTCAAGTCTCTTATACAGAATGGCTTCAAAGATTTGATTTACAAAGAAATGTGCAAACACAGTGCACAAGTACAATCACAACTGCACACAGCACCGCAGTGCTCTGAGGACTAAACAGGAGTTTGCAATGATACAGAAATGTGTAACTGAAGCAATTCTGCTCCTGAATTTGTTGCATTAAAGCAGGCTTTCTGTCTCTAAGGGGTTGAAATCTGTTATGAACTGTACAGCCCTCGCATCCAGGCCATCGAGGTGCTGAAGCTGGAGAAGAGGCTGGATGAGAACCTGATGTACCTGCGGGACGCCCTCCCCGAGTACAGCACTGTCGATGTCAACATGAAACCTGTGCCTCGCATGGAGCATGAGGAAATCCCTGTGAACAAGGTAGGAGCCACGTGTGTCAGGGGCAAAGCACAGCATTGTTTACAGCTTCCATTTGTGACTTATCCTGGCAGGCTGGAGCAGCTCTTTGCTGCATCACTTACCAGGGTGACAAAAGGAGATAAAATCAGTCAAGTCTTTGTGCCATTTTCTATAATGAAAGAATGGTGAGAATGTAAACACCTACCATCCTCTGGAGTTCATTTTGAAGATACACAAAAAGGAGCAGCCTCCACATTCCTCTGTAGAACTGTTCAGAAGGGAAAGCTTTTCTTACAGGAATGTTTTTGTTAATGTAGTTAGTGATTCAGGAGTGCTTGGTGTCAAGGAAGCAAGGTAAGAAAGATGGAAGAGTCACCTAAAATCTGCATCTTGGGGAAGATCCAGATACCATCAGACCCTGCCAGAGTGTTGTGTAGAAACTCAGTATGGCAATTCCTCCCTTTTCCTCTCGTGCTACTTTTATTTTTTTCTTAATAAGGAGTAAAACTAGAAAAGATGAGTTATCTTCAGTTTATGTTTCAGTTAAGGACTCTGTGATAAATCAAGACAGTGTTAATTAAAAAGTGTTACAAGATACTATAATAACAATCATAAATTAGTAGTAACTAAATACACTGACAGATTGGTCAGTTTTCTCTTACTTTACTCCTGTTAGAGCAGCAGTTGTCACCTTTTGCTAAGATCACAATCAAAAATCTAATTTCTTAGTACCCTTTTATTGTTTTGTGTTTTAAAAAATGTTTTCATCTTTCACTCTAGGTGCAGGTACGAATGAAACCTAAACCATGGTCAAAACGGTGGGAAAGACCCAAATACAATATAAAAGGAATCAAGTTTGAGCTACCAGAACACAAAATGCAAGCAGCACAGAAATGGAGCCAGCCATGGCTGGAGTTTGACATGCTGAGAGAATATGATACTTCAAAAATAGAGGAAAAGATTCGGAAAGAACTGAGTGAAGAACTTGAAAAATAATGGGTTTTTGCAGTCTAGAATTCTTGAGAAAATTAATATTTTTAGTTTACTGTATGGATGATCAGTTGTCAAGTTTTGTATATACATGGGCAAAGCAACAATAAAGTTAACCTTTCCAGATTTCAGCATGAACAGATTTCTGTGGCTCAAGTGTCCACTGCCCTCTCAACGCCCTCAAGTCATTACAAGGAATCTTTCTTCCAGAAACAAACATCTACAAAGCTAAATTGTGACAGAACATCAATTACATTTTTGTCATGGCACAAGGCTGGTGCTAGAGACAAGCTGGGATGAGGCAAAGCAGAACAAGAGAAAAGCAATGAGATCATGAGCTTGTGGTGATTGCTGATCAGCAGTTGCATTTTTGTTGGCATTCTGAGAGGAAAAACAGCAGATATGGATTATTAGAAAGCATTATTTGCAACATCAATCCTGAAGCTGCTGTAAGTTAGTGGAGCTGGAGGGGCTTTTTTTCATACAACTTAAAAACATTTTGTCACATGTTAAAGAACTGAGCTGTAGGAGTCATTACCACAGTAAAATATTTTATTTTCAAAAAAAACCCAAATTATTTTTAATCTTTCATCTGTAATACTGATCAAACCTATTTACAGTTAAAATATATTACAAAAATATTTTTTTAACTTAAAAAAATATAAAAAGATGGCATAAGGATTAAGTCTACAAGAGTTAAATTCTATTCCCAGAAGATTTTGGAGAAATAGTCACAAACACAGATTCTGTGATGCATTACAGTTTTTACAATGAAACATCCCTGGTATTCTGTAACAATATTTATTGCAAATATACAAAATTACAAAACAGTAGAAAATATCCTAATAAGGATATGAAGAAGTTCTGTGGAGCTTACTGGGAAGCAAAGGGAGATTTCTAGAACTCCAGTTACTAGAAAGTAACTTGTTTTGTTCTCATCATCACAGTGTCTGTGATGAAAATCCTGATTCTTTACCTGCACACTGACCCCCCCTTGTTTCTGTATCAGGGGCATCATGAATCCTTTTCACTAGGAATGGCTGAACAATAACCCCACCAAAAATCACTGTGGGCCACAAGTCAGAAGAGCTCACTGACTGCTGAGTCAGAATGGTATTTGGCAATTAATACTGAAAATAACTTCTCCAGTTGTCTATTGGCTAGCAGGGATGAAGTTCACAGGCACTTTCTGTTTGCAGGATTCCATTCAAGAAGGATACAGCACTAAAGCACTGTCAAACATTTTAGAATGCCTGAACCATTGCTTTGACAACTGCAATTTCTAAATATTCCCTAATCTAGGAGTAGAAGGCCATAAAAGACATTTTGAAAAAACACCTCATGTATTTAACACCAAGATAGTGACTACCTCTACCTCTGAGTAGGCAGGATCCACTAATTAAATTTCATATTAGAACTGGTTCACTGTGGCTTGTTTCAGTAATGTAAGCATTCCTTCAAAAGTTTCTATTTCCCAATCATTGCTTTAAGGTGTTCAAGTTTATGCTCTTCAATGAAGTCTTCTACAATATGCAAAGCTCCAATTTTCACCAGCAGGAGAAGAACTTCTTTTGTTTCATCACTATTTAAGAATAAAATAAAAAAAAAATTAATAATATAGCAGCACTTTTATTAACCTGTCTAAACTATAATTTTTATTTCCTGACCTTGGCTACCCTGATCATCAACAGCACACAATGTCAACCATCTCAAACTCTCACAGTAAACAAGGACTGCTCAAGTGCTCCTTCATGTTAGACTCCATGTTTTCTTTTAGGTATATATACATATATATATATATATATATATACACACATTACATGACATGACATGAGCATACTTTAAAGTGTCAAATATAAGGTGTTTAAGGAATTTTAAAAAATTTTAACACAAAGTATTTGGGGAAGCACTTGAATCTCAAGGACAGCCTTATCCATTACCTGTGGTTGTCCTTGTGTAGCTCACGGGCACATTGCAGCAAGTGCTGGCTGAAGTTCAGTAATTCAGGGAGAGTTGATCCACCCTTAAGATCTTGGAACCATCTTTCTGGGAGGCATGCAACCACCTGTTAACACAGTATTTGGAAAAAGTTTAACAAGCATTTCAATATAACCAAGTCACATTATTTCTGACAGGAACCTTCTGGCAGGTTCAGTCATTATTACTGTGTTTTTTCCTTCAAACCAACATTGATTATCTCTCTAAGTAGTTATGCTTAAGAACCTACAGACCAGTATTTGCTCTAAAATGGTCTTATGCAGCAAGGTTGTTAGAAGAAAAAAATAAAATCCTATTTTAACGTTTACATTTTCTTTGTTTTTAAATATTCCATCTTCAGTTTTGACCCCTCTTCATGAAAAACACAAGGCTTTGAGCATACACCCTCTTGGAACGAACACTATCTTTTACCTTATTACACTTTTTGATGTTATCTGGCCCTAGTGGTGTGTTCAGGATGTTCAGCAGAAGGTAACGATTCAGCAGCTTGCTCAGGCCCAAATCACGGACCTTGTCTTCCTGGACAATCCCATCCCAAAGAACAACGTTGGAGAGCAGCTGCAGTAATGAAGAAACAAAGAATCTGTAGAACTGCTGGCTCTAAGTGTGCCAAAACTCTTACAAGTTTCATAAAAGAAAAACATAGAAAGGTAATCTGTGCATCCAGTACAAATCCTCAAACTCTAGAATGTACACTCTTCAAACTTCTGGTCAGTTAGCCACTAATAAACTGCATAGAGTAAATAACCTAATTAATTTTACAAGTGCATCTATCTGTATGTATAGATACACCTGTGTACGTCTATACATGACCTCCCAAGGGTGGGAAGAAACTTTTACCCTTCTAGGGGGTTTAACAATTTGCTAAGTACAGAAGGCAATTAAGAAAACTGTCAGAGAAGCAAAGATAGAAGTGAAAAAGTTACATCAGCTGCTCAGGACAAGACTACACACAGTCCCTCATGACATGATGATGCTACAGTTTGTGGCATCACAAAGGTTTTTTTGTAGTTCATCAGTATTATTAGGCACTGAGGGTTTTTTCTGTTGCCTCTATCACTATAAATCCTTACAACTGTCATTTTTGAGCATGGTGTAAGGCTGTGTTTGTGAAGGTAAAACACTTTGAGGTTAAGCTACCTGAAAATTAACCTGCTCTGAGCCAAGAAGGAGGACAAGCAACATGAATAGCAGGAAAACTGAAATATGGTCTGGGATGTTAATGTTTCCAGTGAAATGAATTTCAGAGAGGACAAAGAGAACAAATCCAGCCCTATTTTCTCTACCTTAACAGCTGACCAAAACCGTCTCTCTTGAAATTTTGAACGTAGTGATGACTTGTCTTCCACAGTGCTAGTCATGGGAAGAAAAACAAAAAGTTAAAATAAAGATTATTTTTTGCTGGATTTAAAAGAAGATAAACAGCTATCTGATCTCTCAGACATGGATGTCTACATGTCTAGTATTTCATCTACATCTGTAGGGGGAGAAAGGTAGAGGAACTAAAAAAAATCCAAACTGAAGAGAGTCAGAGGGTTAGCTTACCTTTTAGGATACAGAGGAATAAAGACATCTTCCTCTACAGATTTCTTCATTCTTAGGACAACCGTGTTCATCAAATCCTATTAAAAAAGAATTATTAATGTGTCCTCAAAAGAAAGCCTTCATATTCCATTTGTAACAAGCTCAAAGGTTATTTAGTTCATCCAGAGGTCTGATATCTTATGGATAAGTGCAGCTGCCATTTGAATATAACATACACTGAGACCCTGAATAAAAAATAGAAACAGCAGACAAATCACAGCTGTAATTATGTATAGCTTAGCCTAGAGGGTTTTGCTATATCCCTAAGCTATATCCCATGGTGAGGCTTGTTTTTGCACATTAATCTGCAAGGCAGCAAGAAAACTGTACCAAAGCAAGTTATACACATGGGATCTCCATTAAAAGATGTTAAATTCTATGTAAAGAAAAATCACTATAGCTAGGATAGCATGCATTTCTGAGCAACATGTTTTCAGGTGCCATAGATTGCCACCTAGCTTTTTTTTTTAAGCCTATTTATTTAAGTTCTTGCTAAGATCAGTTGTATCACTTGACTTTAGGCCATGGTTTCAAAACAGCAGACTTTGGAAGGCATAAACATTTTCTTTAAAATATTTCTTTTCATACTCAGGGCCCAAACATCCATCCCATTTCACCACTTAATCCATCCCATTTTCACTAGATAAACTTCCTGATTTAACATCAGAATAAACCCAGAATCAGGCTAAGAAGGGCTTCCTAGAGAGACTGTGTATATAAAAGTAATTATTAAAGGATTGCTAGGATTACATAGTAGTTTTCCTCCTCACCAATTAACCAACCTTTGGGGATTCTCACGTTTTAAAATTCTAGGCCTACTTCATAAATAAAAGCTTAAGGGGTGAACCCCTGAAGCATTACTAGCATATAAAGCTCAAATTTGAAAAGATAATTAAATGCAAATCATTGTTATTGCAGTGAAGGAAGATTAGATCTACAAACAGATTCTGTATAGATACAGGCAGAATTTTTCTACTGACAGCAGCTGATTTCTGCCTCATCATCTTCAACAAGGAGAGCATCAGAGAGCTGGAAGTTTAACTGTTAAATCATCTAAGTGGCAAAACAAAAAAGTAATCAGAACCAAACAGCTTCAGGAGAATGTTCTCAGTGCCCACAGGAGCACACATAGAAGTACACAGTGGGTGAAGTTCCCCTTTCCCAGTACCACAGCTTTTACCTCTCTTGCTTGCCTGGACTCGTTTTTGGCAAGGATTTGTTTTCCAAAGATGTTATTGCAAAGCTGTACAAGGTTCTTTGTCTGTGAAGTAGATAAAGGATCCCACACACTCTTCACAAATGCTGAAAAAAAACAGGAATTTATTTCATTCATAATATGCAACTTACTTATCTGCCCTGGTTTCAAGCCATTACAATGTAACAGAAGTAAATATATAAAAAGCTCAGCCTCCCACAATAATTTTGAAGAGGCCACCTCAGCCCCACTCTGTGGAACTACACAATCATTACATCTTGGAGCACTGTGATATCACCAACATTATTTGATATTATCATTTTTATTTAAGGTTTGATTGCGTAGCTGCAGTGAATGATTTCAATACAATCTTATCATACCTGTAATTTTGGGAAGAACAGTTTTTTCAATCACTCTAGGCAAAACTTCTTTATCATGATCATCATCTCTTTTTGATGCAGATACATTTTCTGCATCACTGAATTCTTCTATAGCTCTGAACCAGGGCATCTCTTCCAACTCTGTAAAATTCTGCTGAAAGATGAATCCTGTTAGTTGTTCAGCTGTCAGCATTAACAGAAAAGCTCAATCCAGCAACACCCAAATTCCCACTTAATTTCAGCTTCACCCTCATCACTGAATGGGCCAAAAGAGCAAAACTAGTTTTAAAGCTACAATTTAATGGGTGGGATTCTTCAAGTGTCTTCGAAGAACCCAGGAGAACTGTTTTTACAGGAGGTGTAAAAGGGGCTGGAGGTAAAAGGAAAGGGGAAAGTTAAGAATATTCCACAACATGCTTCAGTTTTTGAGACAACACAGTAGGTTTCTTAATTTCTAATTCACTGTGCTAGGTATAGGAAAAAAAAAATCATTCTTCATATTAATACATCATACACACACAGATACAATTTTTAACAAAAATTTTAGCTGATGCACCCACCTCAAGAGGATTCCAACTTATTAAATGAGCTCTGATCAATGGGTTTAATAACTTAGGTAGGCAGAAACTGATGTAAGCATCACAGTAAGAGTCAGGAAACTTCTCTTTCCATTCCTGGAATTTCAACAGGATTTTTCTGATGTCACAAAAATCTGCATGTACATCTTCAAAGATTTTCCTACTATCCTCTAAAACGTTATCTATGGATAATATTCATTGGGAATAAAAAGAAACAATCACAGAACTTATTGAGGCATAAGCTGAAGGGTTTATGCATCTATAGGACATAAGAGATATTTTTATGAGAATTGCATTTGTTATTTATCTTTGACACACCTGACATTGAAATGGTTTAAAAGCAGCTCCCACAAGAACCCAGTTGTAGAGAAAAATAGTGTTAGAATACCAAGGAAAGGTAAGTTTGTTCATGACCTTTTTCACAGATTTATATAACCACTGTATTTAAAACTTTGTTACAGAATGATAAAATTTCAGGCATGAAAATCCTTCTGCTGTTATGTTAAGAAAAGTTATTATACCTTTCTCTCCTCCTCTTCATCCATTCACTGAAGATAATTAAAACACTGTAAGCAACCTTTAATTCACACTCCAGCTTCAGGAAATAAATTGACTGTACAAAACATGTTGCAGCACTGCACTGAGTACTGCCAGATCAGCTCTGGCAGAATCTGACAGAGCTAACCTCTAGTTTAAAAAGCCATGTAGAGTGCTGCCACCACATAACTGACACCACAAGAAATCTACAACCATTCATTCATTCCTCCCAAGTCATTAGTCAGAACTGCCTGGGTGCATTTTTTTCTACAGTGTGCAAATAAAAAATATGGAACTCAAATGAAGTATTCCTCTACTTTTCCTTAAAAAACTCATTAAAGAAATACCAAAAAGAGATCTTGTTCTAGGAAACCACATAAAGACTATCACCAACCTTTGCTCTTCTGGAACTCGTCCCGCTCTGTGGGAGTCAGCTCCTCATCACTGGACAAGCCTTCGTGGTGATCTCCTTCTCCTGAGCACTCCCTCGCCTGCCGCCTGCAAGCCCTGCATTTGGGAATGAACCCAGATGAGTTATCCTCTCCTATGTCTGCAGGAGACAGCTTAAAGAAATAATCCAACTTCAAAAAATGTACTTAAAACAAGTCATGAGAACAACAGCCTGAGGAGAAGCAATGGGGGAGCAACAGTGACTACAGAACCAAAAGGACTCCTAAACTGTGGAAAGAGGAGGGGATTTGGGAGCGGACATCCAAGAGCTTAGAGCAACATCTCTGACCTCCCCCATGAGCCATGTAATAACCTTCCCTTCACCTCATCACCACTGATGAGGCTAACAACTCATCCCACCTGCAACACTGAGCATCTGGTGTTGAACTGTATTTACTGAGCTCTCAGACTGTCCTGCCAGTCCCGGATCACTTGTTCAACAACCCACAGGAAAAAGGTGATAGCACCCATGTGCCAGTGGTGTTCCAAGAACTATTGCCATGGCATCAAGAGAAACAGGCTGCAAAATCAATGGCTTGAATTTCTACCACAGGAAAATGATAAATAATATGGAAGTGATATTGCATAAATACTTTTAAACAGTTATTCTTATCAATTAGCATTAAAAGTTAACTACTTTGAGAGGAAGTTATTCTTATTACACCACCTTTCCTCCAGGAAAATTTCAAGGTACTTGCTGCTTCAAAGTATAGTTATGACTTGAGGTACCAACTATAAAACTTTCAAAGCTCCCAATAATATTTTTTTAAAAATGGTACCAATCTCTGAACACTGTAACATTAAAAATGTAGCATCTGTCTGACCTACACTGATAGTAGACCTGGGGCTAGAGGTTGATTTGCTTCACTCACCATCACCTCTCCAGCAGAAACAATTCTGCCCAATTTTGCTATTTATACAGAATATAAAAATATATTTCTGTAAAAGTTAATATTATTATTCATTAAATAAGAAGAAAAAAGCTCCCCTCCTAATTTTGTCTCACTTAAGACTTTTTAATTTAAAATATCCACCTCTATTAACATTCAGGTTCAAATCAATATGAAGAGAATGACATTACAGCATAATGGCTTCCATGTACTTCAAGTTCTGGAAAGCAAATACTGAAGTATTTTAGTGTAATCTCATTTAGTAATCCTACAGGTTTACTTTCATGACTGGAGGAATGACAGGAAGTCAATGCACAGCACATTTATCAGTTAAGTGCATCTCTGTGTAAGAGTTACCTTCGATGCTCACACATTTCCAGAACCTGTGTCTTCTCACCACCTTCCAATTTGCTTTTCACTGGTTTGTCATTCCCACCTGTAAGACAGAAACAGCCAAAAATAAAGTGCTACATTTTTAAAGTTCCTGTTTTATTTTCAAACAGGAAACAAAGAATCTCCTTCTATTGTTTTTTTTGTTTTTTTTTAAATTTGGAAAATAGACAACAAAAGAACAAACCTAATCAAAACTCTAACAGTGTCCAGAGTAAACCAGAGTGAATTCCTTGTAGCCTTAATAACTGGCTGATGTGCAAAACATGTCAAAGAGAAAGGGTGTACTACTACTGAAGTACTATCATGTAAGAAAAAACAGCCTTTCCACTATATTAAATATAATTAGGAACATAAAAAACAATGCTATGTGCTGCTAAACATGTAAGTGCAGTCTCATTTGTAATGAGCTGGAGGTTAAATCATTTTAATAGCAATTCTTATTATGGCATTACCCTTCTCTCCTTACACCTGTTGTCAGTTTGCCACCCCATTTTACAAAACCATCCAGGCTGCTACTTTCTCTCATCAGCAGTTTATCCCCTCAAGTGAGAAGACTGAACCCATATGATTTAGTATTTACCAGGATCCAGTGCATCTGCCCTCCATCTGTTCCCAGCAGCTCCAAGCAGATTGCTCTCAGCTTTGCCTGAACAGTTTTAAAGGGTTTTGGAGGTCTGGTTTGTTTGGGTTTTTTAAATAGCAGCAGCTAAAGATTCACACAGCATATAAACAATACCTTAGTGAGGAAAGAAAATATGAGCTGAGAAAACTGTACTAATTTTTCCTACAGTGACTGAAACACAGTTTTCTTTTAGATAAAACCCTCACACAGAATAGCTTCTCTCTTCATGCTCTGCCACATGGGTGTCACCTCCTGGTTTGAAATCTCCAATCTGGGCACACACATAGCCTTACAGACACCCTCAGGTAAAAGTGATGTTGCCAATTACACACTCAGCTTTTTCAGATATTCACAGAATTCAATAATAAGGAAGCTTTCTCCAACTGGAGACCTACTGGAAAACTGACTCACATTTTTCTTTTTAAATATGGATGGGAAATTGAAAAATTAAAAATTGACAAGGTACTTGGTCACCTTATATTTAGAGAAATTAAGCCAGAGAAAAAGTGTCATGGGCATTACTGAGGTAAGAATTTCAAATTAGGCACAGTAGGACACACCTACTGACAATGGGAAGGGGAAAGGGGATCAAAGGTGAAAATTAAAATCATAACCCAAAAATGAACTGTATTTCTGCTCAAAGACAGAAGTTATTCTCTCACTGAAAATCTGAACTTTGTACTAACTTGTCAGATGCTGAATATAAGCAGATTCATTTTTCAGCTCCTCCTGCCTTCGCTTCGATACTCTCACGGCTCGTTGCTGCAGAAGGGCATGCACAGCCCATTCCAGCTCATTAATGTCCTTCAACTGCAACACAGCAAACACCAATCAGGCTTTCAATTGGTTAAATCCCCCAAGAATGAACAAAAACCAACATCCATGGGTTTTTTGTATGGCTGTGAAATTAGAACAGAAGTATCATAGATTGACAAGTAAGTTCCTGGTCATGGGAGTTTTTAGGCTGAAAACACAAACTACATGGCAGTTACACATCAAGGACTAAGACTTCATACAAAAGAGTTCACCAGGACACCACTGGTGTCCCTTGTTTTACTGCAGTTTGCTTTTGAGGCACTAGCCACTGAAGAAAATGTATTCACTAGCATGTCTTCTGTTTAAAGTTACCTGAAGAAATTCACAACTGCGAAGTGACACAAAATTAAATTAAAATTAAATTTGATTCTGATAGAACTGATTTTTAACTGGGTGGTATCTCTCATTTTTCACTGACAGAATACACCTTTATCATCTTAAGAAAAGAAAAGAGGAAAATATACATACTTTTTCATTCAAACAGTTTATCAAGTTTTCTACATATGTTTTCATGGTCCTGTAGAATTTGTAATTCAGAGCTGCATCTGAAGACTTTTCCAGCTCCTGGACAGACATCTTTGAGCTCTCAATATCCTCCATATATTTTTCATACTCTCTCTGGTGGGCACGGTGCACATCCTGTAAGGATGTTATCCTAAAAGAGAGAAACCCAGACAATCAGAACTATTGCCATCTTAACAGCTGATGCACTCCAAAACATTTCTCCCATTATAATCACATACAAAATCTTTGCCTGTGCTAATAATAGCTCTTGCATTTGACCTGAGCAGCACTGAAAGATTTACCCATGCCAGCATTTACAGGGTAGGAGCAACCATCATGCTTTGGTGACCCAAATGTCATTTATATGGTGCTGGTTTTGAAAGCACCACAGGTATTTTACCTGGACTCTTCAATACACCACACTTCCCAAAACCATAAAAGCCAAAATTACATGGTATCACATTATTAAATAGATTCTACTCATTGTAATCTGGTAAAAACTACAGCTCACATCAACATGTCCATACCAGTTAATAAAAAGCTGCACGGACAGAAGTACCTGTAGTATTCACAATGTGCTCACTATTAAACACAAACCAACTGACAACTCTTACTGCTGAGTGATAAACACCAAAAACTTCTGTCTACAGCTGTCTCTAGCAGATATGTAGCACACAAACATTTACATATATTACAACTCTGCTTTCTCTCTTTTTTACCCCTTCCCTCCTTACATATCCCAAGTGTTTGCTCAGTTTGAGCAGTCTGTAACAGAATCAAGGCACAGACCACAACTTATTTTACCTCCCTGAACTAAACACTTCCCAAAGAAAACAGATTAACTAAGCTATTGTGTTCTACTGTGCTACCAATTAAAAAGAAAAAAATATTAATTTATTTCAACATTTAATATGTTAAAAACATCTACAAACAAAACAGGTTTGTACCTACATCAAACACATTCCCTCTCCCCTTCCTGCTGTTTCCCAGACAAATTTCCCACTCTTGATAGCTGTATTCTTATGCTTTCTTATTTGATTCTGTACATAATTCTGTACATCAATTCCCTTCAGGTGATTAAAGCTAAGAAAGCACACAATTCCACAAAAATATTTAGTCCAACTTAGTTTCACTTCTCTAAACAAATGCAGCAATGATGGTCTGTACAAAGCAAAGATTACACAGAGCTTCGTGCAAGTTCACAGCACAATTTATGTTTCACTTGTATTAAGTTACTTGTCTAAACTTATCTGAACAGCTGCTTCCCAGTGCTGGGAGGGATGACAGGGGATGGCTTACCTTGGGATGCCTGACCCCAGTTGTCCTACCCACACACCCTCCAGGAGGTTCCCATGTCCACTTCAGCTGCCCACACAGCAGCTGAGCTGCCCAAGAGAAGTCACAGCCTGGCACACAACTGAAGAAAAAGATCCAGGCACGTTCTGAACAGGCTGTAAAGAACTTGGGCTGCTTTAGGAAATACTGGGCTATTTTTGCAGCTGGTATAAGAACTACTAAAGGAGAATTGGGAGTGCCAGCTCCACCTGCCCCCAGTGAAGTTCTACTTGCTGGGAAAACATAACATTGAGCCAAGGTTTCTGTCAAGAACCACCAGTAACCATAAAAATCTGCTGCCAAATAAAAGAATTTATGTTCTAATGTTCAAGTTGACAGAAACACTCTTGGAAAGTCCAAATGCTCCCCTGAAACAAAGTTATTGCCACATAAAGTAAAAAATTTGTAGTACTCCATTAGACATCATTACACTTGGTAACAACCCAAACAAAGCTCAACTCTCCGGAAAAAAAAAGTAAGACTTTAAAGCTGTTGCCTCATTCTGTGACAAAAACTCAGACAACTAGTAAGTTAAGGAGTTACCTTTCAGTCAGTCTCTTCTTCACAATTTCCAAATTCACAGGTGGTAGAGAAACAGAGGTATCAAACTTGGGTTTGGTTGGCTGATATTTACGCACAGAGGCATCATCACAAATTTCCTACAAAAATTAAGTGTCAATTTTTAATACACCATTTACACAATTTCACCCTTTGCAACTCTACAGATCATCAAGACATATCATTTGAATACTAGACATCTGATACAAAGACATATATTTCAATCACAAAAAAATCTAGACAAAACCCAATCAATTCAAGCATTAAATCCATAACTAACAAGGTCTACAGCTATAAATTGCTGCTGTATCCTGAAGAGTAGAATTAACTTTTCCATAAGCAAGTGGAGCATGGGGACCTAAGATCATACCGGATTTGAACACAGTCTCAACAGGATGTAACTTTCTCTCATTCCTCTACTCCCCAAATTGGAAAAATTTCTACAACTGTCAATTCTGACTTCAATAAAGAGCTGGTTATTCAGATACTCCTATGTCTGATCCAGTGTAAGTGATCCAAGCCAGAACCAAAACTTCCAGTATATCAGCATATAGTTCATTTTTGCCAATTACTTACTGAGAAAAAGACAGCATTCTCATTAACTGTGAAAGAGCTCTCAGATTGCCACTCAACAGAAATTTAGCAGAATAAAAAAATAATTTTTGCTTTGCAACATTTGTATCATTTGCATACTCTTGCTTTCAAGATCCCTTGCACAGCAGCAAAAAAAATCAGAGTTCAGAATTTTCTTCTCTGCTTCTTGTGACCTCTTATCACAACAGGTATCTCACTGATTCTCAACAGCCAGACAGAGATTACAGATTTTCATTGTCATCTTCCCATATTTCTAATCATCTTTCCCTGAAGAATCAGGGAATAACTTCCTAAGATCCTCCCTAACAAGAGTATTCCAGACAATCTCTCTTGCCTATAAGCAAAAAGCAACTTCCAATGGTTAGGAAAGCAGGTGTCACCTGAGAGAGTTTAACAGCTTTCTTTATTTGCTGCTCTTCCCACTTGGCTTCATCGTCACTTGATGCATCACCCAGAGACACTGGAAGGCAAAACAACTGTTATTAGATCCCACTACACCCTTTATTTTTTCCCCTCCATCTAAAGCAACAATGGGTCTCCCAGCCAACACTGAGAAGTGATACACACAAAAACCAGCAGATGAAAAAGCAGATGAAAAACCTGCAGATGGAAGACTGCAAAACTGAAAGGCAAAGAAGGCTTGGAAAAGGCTACTGGGATTTGTAGGATTCACAGTAACATTAATTCCCCAACTGTTTCTCAGACAACTACTACTGCAGTAGGAGGCACACAAACATCTTGTTTTTATTTCTCAAAACAAAGTTTACATGCATAATACATGTAAACAAGAGTGTAAGTATAGACCAAGACATGACACCCAACAAACCCTTGAGCATTCCAGAACATACACTCAACTACAGATACAAAAACATCTCGTTAGCATTAATCTGAATGGCAGATTCTGCTCATAGATATGCATACCTTATAGCCCTTATCCAAATACTTAAGTAAACCTGTGCTTCATAAACAACACTATAAGCAGCTCTAAGGGAATAAAAACAATGGAAAAGCCAATTATGTTTTGCATGCAGCAGGTTTGTTTACTTCTGAAGGGTTAGAGTGAGGGTTTGTTTGTTTGCTTTCCATTTTTGAAATTTATAATGTCAGTGCAGGAAGAGCACTTAGAAGGCCAGGCCAGAAGCAGGAGGCAGGACTTGGAGTAACTTTATTCACAGTAAATGTGCCTCTTACAAGGCCATTTTTTTGCAGTCAACAAGGCCAAAAATAATTTTGCAAATGGTTCTCAAAGTATCCTGCACCACCACCAGTGAGACCTAAACCAGGTTTATGGCCCATATAAATAAACCTCAAGTACCAACTGCACAGCCTTTTTCCAAGAGCCCTGAGGAGCAAAGCCTCACTCCTTACTGGACAAGTCCCATGTGGCTCCAGAGACTAAAACAAAGCCTCTGGGAGAAACAGCACAAACTCACCCATGTCTTCAGTCATCCTCTGCCTAAGAGTTCTCATTCTAGGAGCAAAATCAAGATTCTTTGTTTCAGACTCATCTTCACTCTCCAAATCACTGCTTCCTCTTCTCTGAGGGACCTGAGGACTGTTTGAAACATCCAGGGCAAGATAATCAGCCTCTGTCCTGGCTAAGTGTCGCTTCCTCCGAGCAGCCTCAACCTGAGCTGCACTGGGGATATTGCCTGCATCAAAGAGAGAGAAAATCTAAGAAAAGACTAAAAGCAACACTCTGTATCTAATGCCAATCATCAACTGTTCAGCACCACTGTACAACCCTGGATACACAACACAAGATGGTTTTCTACAATGGTTGCCATGTAGAATACAGGGAGATGAAAAAGTGGCTGTCAGCCCTCAAAGTGAGGTTTTATTTTCTCCTCATGAAGGGAATTGTGCATCACTAAAGAGGAATTTTCTGCTGCCTTTCTTCTATAACCAGGGCTCATAATTTCTGCTCCCTTCCCAAAACCAGCATAGAAAGACAACAAATGTTTGCAACTAAAAATGTGGGGGAACCACTGCTCTTCCAGAAGGGTAGCCCTGACTCAGGATAAACAGATGCCAATATTTTAGGTGGTTTAAGCTTAGTGGAACTCATCTCACCTAACTTGTCATGTCCTTCAAACACAAAATGCTCTAAAATAGCTTTCCTGGAAAAGAAAAAAAAAAAAAAAGCTAGGGAACTAACCTGGTGATAAATCCTTTCCCCTCTGTGGAGAGTCAGATTCATTTTCAGAATTTGAGCTGTTGTAATCCTCATTCAGTGAAGAATAAGTTTCATCCTCATTGTCCTCATCCTCTTCATGAGTACCTTTGGTGTTGCCAACTCCAGGCTCCAACTGACAGATTTCTTCATTATAGGGGAAAAAAGAACAATCCATTATTTCAGTTTCAGCTGCTAGAATATGATGTGCCATAACTGGTTACCAGAAATTATTTACACCGTGCTGCAAAGACTGGTGACTTGTCTATCTCCCACCTGTTCTCATCAAAACATGTCAAATTTTAACATTCCAAGAGAGTCACTTACAAGTCAATTCTTGTATTGAATAAAAGCATCTTTGATGATGCTTCCCACAGAAAGACTCCAAGCCCTTCTGAGACACAGAGTGTATTTACATGCACAAAAGCAATGAGATCAGCTCTCAGATAACAACTAATTAATATTCTGATTGCTCACAGTGTATTTGGATTCTTGACTTGAAAAACTGCATTTAGAAAGCAGTCTTTGTTAAACTATAAACATTTATATCTATCTTGTCTCCAGTTATTATCAAATGCTTTAAAAATATTGATTTCTCTTCATCTGCCACTACACTTTCAGTAAATCATAAGATTACTGAACAACAGAATGTACCACCTTTTATAAGAATATGGTATGCTTTTATAAGTTACTAAGAAAATTTACTATCTCAGCTGAATCACAACCTCAAAGGGAATTATTGCCCAATCTCAATCCAATTTACTTTTATCTAACATTAGCAAATATGGTATAACTGTGAATTGACAGAGGTGTTAAAAGGGGAATACATAAAGAGAACTTTTAGATGCATTTGTTTCTAAAACACACAAACTGCAAATATTCAAACAAGAGAGTTACCACAGAATAGTTTGGGTTGGAAGGCACCTTAAAGGTCATCTAGTTCCAATTCCCCTGCCATGGGCAGGGACATCTTCCACTAGACCAGGTGCTCACAGCCCCATCCAACCTGGCCTGGAACAATTCCAGGCATGGGGAGCCCAGCCTCTCTGGGCAACTGACTGTATTTCAATGGAACTAGGGAAACTACCAGAATAATCTAGGCTATTGACTGAATTCAATGAAAACATTTAAATACTGTAAGAGCACACAATTTAATAAAGTTTGCATTAACTTTCATCAGACAAAATGCTACTAAGCTCACATTTTCCCTCAATGCCAATACTCAGATCAAACTGCAAACAGACAGCAATAAGCAGTGGATACCTGGCCCATAGTTCGAAAGATATGATGCTGAGGTAAAAACTTATCAAAACTTTGTTAACTTTGATGTTCGTGGTTCTGCAAAATCAGGTTTTCTCAAGAGAAACCTCCAGGTTCTGATAAACTTTTACCAAGGTCAAACTGAAAATAATTTCAGCACAAATACATCATAATTATAAACCTGTAAACTAACATTGCAAGTATAATTCTGGGTTCAATTAACAAGCAAAAAACATCTAACAGCACTATTTTTACATCACTCTTCATGTATTTCATAAAATATTTAACTTAAAAATGTACTTACTTTTGCTTTCTTCAGCTTCTGTCTGTGCAGGCAGTAAGCTTTCCTTCTTTTTAATTCTAAAGGTTACTTCATTGAAGGATGGCTTTTTAACTTTAAAAAACTCTTCACCTACCGGATAAAACAAAGTGATTCTGAGTAACATTCATATCATAAAGCCAACAATATACACACATATATGTGTATGCACTGCATACAAAAGTGCATGTAAACTCTACATGTGCACAGCATAACTTCTGAATCACAGAATCAATTAGGTTGGAAAGGACCTCTGAGATCAAATCCAACCTATGATCAAACACCAACATGTCAACAAGGCCATGGCACTAAGGACTATCTATGTCCAGTCTTTCAGTTCTGGCTGGATTAATTCTAAATATTACAGTGCCTTTATCACTCATGATCTATCACCTCTTAGGTAAAAGCTGCAGCTCAGCCTCCTCTACACAGCAACACTGCACTGCTGAAATGCAGGGTCTCTCTGCAGCTTGTCCCCACCAAGGTTGATATCTTCTCATCAACCACAACAGTAACAGCCCAGAAGTGTCAGTTAAACATTCAAGTTTCATTTATTTAAGCTTGTTCATCATAAGCTTGTTCAGTCATGGAAGCACACAGTACTTGTTCACTCTGGTTTTCTCCAGTTCTAAGATTTCAGGTGTTTTCAGCCAAAAGAACATGGACGTAAGTAATTGCCAAAATAGTTTTAACAGAAACACACAATTGTCAGGGTTGAAAGGGACCTCTGGAGATCCCCTTGGCCAACCCCTCTGCCAGGGCAGGGTGACCTGGAACAGGTGAGACAGGAATGTGTCCAGGTGGGCTTGGAATGCCTGCAGAGAGGGAGACTGCATGCCCTCCCTCGGCAGCTGTTCCAGTGCTCTCCCACCCGTGATGTAAAAAAGTTCTTCCTCGTGTTGAGGTGGAACTTACTGTGCTTTAGTTTGTGGCCATTGCTCCTCATCCTATTGCCGGGCATCACCGAACAGAGTCCGGCACCATTCTCACGCACCCGCGTTTGAGATATCTAGATGGACTGATGAGCCCAGCTCTGTCTTCTCCAGACTAACCAGGCCCAGCCCAGGTTTTACTCCGGGTTTACCGCGCAAACCCTCCCGAGAGCCCTTCCCCTGACAGAGCACGGCTGGGTGTGTTTACAAAGACAGGCAGGAGGGGCTCGCTAAGGCGGCAGCCCAAGGCAGAGCCTGTCCGCTCCCGGAGCCCCGGGCCGTGCCCTGCGGCTCACACACACTCGATCCGTCCTCACCTTCCCGCTCCTCCTCGCCGCCGAAGCTCAGCAGCTCCTTCCCGGCCTGGACCGGCCCCGCTGCGGCCCCGGCTCTGCGCTGCCCCGGGCCCGGGCCCGCCCCGGCTCTGCGCGCCCGCCCGCGGGGGCTGCGGGCCGGCTCCTCCGCGGGCAGCGCCCGCTCCGCGCCGGGATCGCCCTCGGCCTCCGAGGGCTCCGCTTCCCGCTCCGAGGGCGAGCTGGCGCCCGAGTCCGGGGACGGAGCTGAGTCCGGGGATGGAGCTGAGTCCGGGGACGGGGCTGCGGCCGGCTCCGGCTGTGGCTCCGGCTCGCCGTCGCTGCTGCCGCTGGAGGCTGCGCGCCGCCGGCCGCGGAAGTTGCGCGGGGGACGGCGGAACATCGCCCTCGGGAACCGCTGCCGGGATCGCTGCCGGGAATCGCTACCGGGAATCGCGGCCGGGACCGCCGCGATCCCAACGTGGGCCCCGGCGCGCACGCGCGGTGACCCCGACGGGCCCCGCCCGCGGCTGGGCGGGAGCTTGGGAGGGACGGAGGGGCAGAATGAAAGGTGTAAAAAAATGTACAAGGCGTTTTTTGGTGATTCATTGATGCCTAAAAATGTAACTTGTTGGACAAACCCTGAGCCCCTCAGTGCCGGGGCTGCCGTGCTGGGTGGGTGCTTCCCCCTCCTCCGCAGTACCATCGAAAGCTTGTGGAGTTCTGGTATTATAAAATATAATTTATAAACAACATATGATAATATATTATTTCAATACGCAAAAGTTATTTGGCGATAATTATTAATGAATATTTATAGACTTTTGTGATTGCTATGTATTACGTAAATGAATAGTAAATTGAACTGTAATTGCTAATGCCTAACTACACATAAATAAAATAGCTGTTTTAGAATTAGTAGTCGCATACACAAAAAACAAATAAATACACTTTTTAAGGCCAGGTTGGAGGGAGCTCTGAGCAACTTATCTAGTGGAAGGTGTCCCTGCCCATGGAAGAGACAAATGGAATTAGATGATCTTTAAGCTCCCTTCCAACCCAAGCCATTCTATGATTCTGTGATTGTTATAAATGTAAAACTGACTCTGTAGCTTGTTGTCAAAAAGTAATCACATATTTTTTTCCCCTTCCTCAGGCTAAGCTCACAGAAGGAGCCAGGCAGGTGCCAGTGCTGGTGGAAGGGGAGGGGAACATATGGCTGGGAACAGAAGGAAGGTGGGAATGTGACAAGTGATGACAAATTGGTTTGCTTGGAGAGGAGTTGTGCTGTATCTTGTACCAGCCTTTGATTTCTGCTATGCTGACTTGAGCTGTGTGATTTGCTCTGTGGAAAGAAAGTGCATCCCACTCCAAATGAAACCGTAAAACCAGGCAGAGCAAGTCCTTCAAGTAAGCCTTTGTGTCCCAAGAGAAGTATCCAAGAATAGCAAACGTTTGAAATGTTCTTGCTCAAATCGCTCCACCTTTCTGTTTTCAGCTGTAATATGAGGATACTAATATTAACTTGCCTCAGGAATCTTGTGAAGAAAAAGCTGCATTTGTGAAGTACCAGTTACAGTAAGAATAACATAAAAACCCAAGAGAAAATCAACTAAAATATATTTTTATTCAGTGCTGCTTCTGAACGATTATTAAATAAAACCCAAGGCTACTTAGTGAATAAGGAAGATTATAAAAACTTTAAGAATTCAGGAAACAATTCACTTTGCAGTATTATTCATTTTCTGCACTGAAAAAGGGTGGGGATTTGGTGGAAAAATAAAGTACTTATGTAAATGCTGAAATTAAACCTGTCCATGGATTTGTGGTTAAATTGACTTATTGCAGGCTCTGATTCAAAACTGCCTTATTGCTGTGGAATTGATATGGATGTCCATGGGTAGTTTCTCTGAGTGAAAAGTGAAGTCAAGAATGGTCTGGGGATGACCACGTATCTTGAGTTGTTCCATTGCAACCTGGGCAAAGCAAAGTTTGCAGATGTACATTTACCTGGAATAATGCCCATAAGTTTCCTGTTTCTCATTTACTCCTCCAGGACTGATGAAGGCTTCATCATGCCAAGCAAAGCAGGGAGTTTTACCAGCAGCCTTTAACATCTTTATAATCATGTCAGACCTTCTTTGCCTGGCTGTGTCTCTGTATTTAAGTGTTTCTTTTTAATCTGATTTTAAATCCTGTCAGTCTAGTGAGCACTACTCAGGCAGGACTGAGCTGGCTCCTTGTAAGACAAAATGGGCCAGGACCTCAGCATGGCAAAAACAGGGGACACAACCCTTGTACTCTTTGTCTTTCCAGCAGGTTGAAACTGCCATGTTTGCAGTTGTCCCTCCAGTTAATTTGCTCACTAAGTGCCCAGATACTGATCTAGGCAATGGCATCCAATCCATTATGATCCCAGTTCAGAAGAAGTAAAGCAAATTCAGCCTCAGCCACACAGCACAGTATTTCTTGGAAGAACTGCAAATGCCAAGTGCTGATGGATTTATCTTGTTAGGCAGTAAAAGCCCTTTTCCTGGCACTGCTGACACAGAACAGAAGGATAATTTTGCCTTAAACTATTTAGCCATGAAGGTTAAACTTAACAGATAGATTAGGATTTATTGGTCACAAATATTAGAATAATTTGTTCTTAAGTGTTTTAGTGACTCTGCAGCCGAAATTCCTCTGGGAAATGAATTTTCAGAAAGACTTGGAGTAGATCAGTGAAGTAGATCAGCAAATTGTTATAGATTATCCTTTCCAAAGCAAGAAGCAGGATAAAAGCAAGACAAACCTTGCATGAAAATTCAAGTGAAGCATTAATGGCTGACAGTATGATCTCTTTTCATGCTCCATTGATTTCAGCTCTGGCTTGAACTCTGTTAAACTTTAATGTCAATGTAAGTTACAAAGTTACTTGCTCTGATAGACTTACCTCTGGTCAAAACAACTTTCAACTGCAAAAAAAAAACCCCTAAACCTAAGAGGTCAACTCTGTTCTGGGGAAAGACTACAAAATTAGATCTGACCCCCTGAATGCAACAAGTTTGCCACTGATTCGATGTACCGCACAACCTTATTACTTGAAGCTGGTGGAAGAATTTGCCTTTGCTCACGTTTTTCATGGAAAAGTCCAGCAGGATGTCAGGCAGATGGGGGCAGCAGCACCTCAAACTCTCAGCTTTACACCAGGCAAGCAAGAGCTACAGCCAGGGAAAATTTCTGTGTCCTATCAACACAGAGCTTTTGTGTAGACTTCCATAAGCCAGTTTAAAACCACAGTGATCTCTTTGCCCTTTCAATGAAACCCTGTTTTTATTAATTATTTTATTAATCATAAACTCACTTTACTGTTTTACACTGCTTTGCATATCTTTATCATAGTATGTACTTGTTTTATAGCATGCCTGTGCCTTTCCAGAAATCTGTGAATCTTGAAAAAATTCCTTTTCCCAGCAACTCACAAAACGTTCTGAAATCTGAGAAGATTTATTTCAAATTTTCCACAATATTTGTTATTCATCCCTTAAAAGCAATGTGTAATTCCGGAGAACCTCACAAAATTCAGTATACAAGAGGTACACTACTCAAAAGTAGTACTGGTCCTCAGAACCCAACTATATGTATGAAATAAGAGCTTTTAGCACCTAAAAGTGAAATATTTGGGGAAAAGAAACTCGCATTTGTAGCAAATGCAGTAGGGATCCCAGCCTATTGGGATCAGAGTGGCTTCTTGGCTTGCATCAAAACCTGAGCACAGAGAAACAAATGTGTCTGAAATGAACCAGCAACTCTGTCTTACGGAGGTGTTATTTACTAATTGTGGCATCAGGATCGTAAAATTGCAACAAATAACGTTGCTTAACCCCATCACTCTGCTGTTGTCAGCACTTGGCACTTGTGAAATTCCTGTGTGCTTGAGCGTTTCTGCCCGCCTGCACTGCAGCTAGGGATAGCAAGTAAAACCCTTGTGTCTGCTCAGCAGTTGGCAAAGTTTTATTTGCAATAATTCAGTCTGCATGAGTCAGCACTGCCTCCCTCCACAACATGGTCTGGCCTGTCTGGAAAGCTGCTTTCTCTATGGTTACATAGATGTTCTGTAAATCTCAAAATAATTTCAGTGCGGTAGGCAAAGATGCCTTTGCCACACTGAACAAATACAGTTCAGCTCCCCATCCCCTACTAAATAATATCAGTGCTTGGCAGGGAACAAAGTTGGGACATGAATATTTTATTTCTTACAGCTATGAAGTAATAGAAAATCCTGCAAAATGAATACAGTAGCCATTTGTTATTTTAAAACCTGTGTGGGCTTCTGGTTCAGAAACCAAACCAACACCTCTAGAGGTTCTATTTTTGATGCAGTGTGTGCTTTGTGCCTTCTACGCCTTTTTGATAAATTGTTACTCAGAATCTGTATCAGAAATGCTGTCTTGTTCTTGTTCTGTTAGGTGTGGAAAGCAAATATTAACCTGTCCTTTTGTTTATCCCATTCTGTTTTATGCTTCCATTTTTAAATAAAGATGTGGGTTAAAAGACAGTATCTAGCATTTACTCAGAAGATGGAAAGCAATTGGCACTGCTGTAAATATGGAACCTCCAGCAGCACCGAGTGAGGGCTCACTGCTTATCTGTTTGCTGGAGAGCAAAAAGTGGAGGTGGAAAAGAAAATGTAGCATGAATAAGAGAGTTGAATCTAATAAAGGGGTCAGAGCTGTCACTCATCAGGTAGGTGTGGCTGTTCCTAAGTAGTTCTTTATAGCTGGGACAACAAGCTGGACTCTCCAGATGAGGAAATGCCACTCACTAGGAAGCAAAATTAAACAGGTCACTACAGGAGGAATGTGTGCAGGTTGCTATTGAGCAATTACTGCTTTTTGACCGCTCACAAATAGTTGTCACTTTACATCCCTTGATTTCTGACCAGTGCACAAAGCATAGCTTATTCTTGAAATAACTGATTTCTGATGTACATTTGGTCCTGGTTTAACTTCATGTATTTTAAACATACATTTACAGGAAGATGTCTGTCATCAAGCTTAGACACTGCCTGGTCAGAGGGCTTGTACAGGGAGAATAAAGCATTCACTTCTCTTCCTGCAGCAGAGCAAAGAAAATAAGCAATATTATGGAGTAAACTAAGAGCAGAGAAGAAGTCATGTTACCTTTTGCCACTCAGTTCAGGCTAAGCAATTTTATTCATTATTTTTTTGCTGTCAGTGGAGATCTTTCCTTTTTACTCTAAAGACAGGAAAATTGCTTGTAACAGGAAACTGAGACAGAGTACAGATAATGGTCAAAAAGTAAAGCCTTAATGTGAAAGTTGAGTTGCTAGTAATGGGAATAGTTTCTCCATCTTCATTATATCTTGTTAAGTTTTGGTGTTGTGTGTTGGTTTTGGCT